ACACTATACACTACACTATACACTACACACTACACTATGCACTATACACTACACTATACACTACACTATACACTGCACTATACACTATACACTACACTATACACTACACTATACACTACACTATACACTACACACTACACTGCACTATACACTACACTATACTCTATACACTACACTATACACTACACTATACACTACACTATACACTACACTATACACTACACTATACACTACACTATACACTACACTATACATTATACACTACACTATACACTACACTATACACTACACTATACACTACACTATACACTACACTATACACTACACTATACACTACACTATACACACTATACACTGCACTATACACCGCACTATACACTACACTATACACTACACTATACACTACACTATACACTACACTATACACTACACTATACACTACACTATACACTACACTTTACACTACACTATACACTACACTATATACTACACTATACACTATACACTACACTATACACTACACTATACACTACACACTACACTATACACTACACTATACACTACACTATACACTACACTATACACTACACTATACACTATAAACTACACTGTACACTACACTATACACTACACTATACACTACACTATACACTACACTATACACTACACTATACACTACACTATACACTACACTATACACTACATTATACACTACACTATACACTACACTATACACTATACTATACACTACACTATACACTACACTATACACTCTACACTATACACTACACTATACACTACACTATACACACAGAGACACACAGACACAGAGACACACATAGACACACAGAGACACGCAGACAGAAACACACACAGACACACAGAGACACACAGACACACACACAGACACACACATACACACACAGACACACACAGAGACACACACACACAGACACACACACACAGACAGAGACACACAGACACACACAGACACACACAGAGACACACAGACACACACAGAGACACACAGACACACACAGAGACACACACACACACAGACACACAGACACACACACAGATACACACACACAGACACACAGACAGAGACACACACAAGCAGACACACACACAGACAGAGACTCACACACACAGACACACACACACAGAGACACACAGACACAGAGACACATACACACAGAGACACAGAGACACAGACACACACACACAGAGACACACACACAGACAGACACAGACACACACACAGACACACACACAGAGACACACACACAGACACACACAGAGACACACACACAGACACACACACACAGACACACACAGACACACACAGAGACACACACACAGACACACACACAGAGACACACACACAGACACACACACACACAGACACACACACAGAGACAGACACAGACACACACACAGACACACACACAGACACACAGAGGCACACACACACAGACACACACAGACACACACACAGACACACACAGACACACACACAGAGACACACACACAGACACACACACACAGACACACACACAGACACACACACAGACACACACACAGACACACACACAGACACACACACACAGAGACACACAGACACACAACAACAACAACCGCCATTCGCCACTAAGTGGCGGTGACGTCACCACGACGCTTGTGCCAGGCTATGTGCACCCTGAGGCCACGTGAAGTGTCGAACGCCCGCTGGCAGGATGTCACGGAGCAGACCCAGGTGCCACGGGTCGACTGACTGAGATGACTGGCTGATGCACCACCTGTGCCCCCTACTGTGCCAACCTGCTGTGCTTTAGCCACCCGGCGCTCCGCTCGTTGTTGTGAGCGTCGCTCCTCCGCCCTCCGTTGTTGTTGGAGGGCGACTGCCTCCAACTGCCCAGTAGCATCCTTCACGAGCCTCCTCCACAGAGGCCGATCTTGACACCGCTGGTACCAGTCATCGGCAAGTCCACTCAGCTCCACGTCCTCCTGTACCACATCACTCCATCTCTTCTCTAGCCCGTGCCGCGCCCGCTTAGCCCCCTCAATCCGGCCAAACAAAAGCTGTTTCGGCATGCGGTAGCTGGGCATGCGGGCTACATGACCCAGCCATCGCAGCCTTGCCTGCCGGAGGAGCTCACCGATGGGACCCTGCCCAGATCTTTCAAGGATTTGTGAGCTCCTCACACAATCCAGTCTGGTTAAACCCAGGATGGATCGTAGGCAGGCCAGCCTAAATGTTTCTAACCGGCGAAGATGTTCCATTAGGGGGGTCCACGTTTCGCAAGCGTAGAGAAGGGAGGGAATGACCGTGGCCGAGAAGACCTGAAGCTTAGTGCGGAGCGACAGACCAGGTAGCTTCCACACAGCGTTACGCAACCGATGAAAAGATCGGTTGCGTAACACACAGAGACACACACACAAAGACACACACACAGACACACACACAGAGACACACACACACACTCCACGACGTTTCGATCGCAACACACGACCCTGATGAAGGCCGCTTGCGTTGCTTTAATTTAAAATTTATTATTTTAAAAAAATAGTTTTTTTATTTGATTAAATTTTACATTTTCTAATAATTTAAATTAACACAAAAATGTAATAATTATTTCCCTAGCTAAGTGACTTTTCTCCCGAAAGAGGCGAAGAATAATAAGGAAGTCCCCGCAGGCCACCAAAGGCTCAAGTCTAAGAGACGAGAATCTCACCACCACCAACTCCTCCGCGCCTCGTCCACTCGCTGTCGACACCTGTCACGTGGCGCGTCACGTGACGCCGAGTGACGTCACGCGAGCGGAACTCGGCGCCACGTGACCGGAACTCGGTGCCACGTGACTGCGGCTGGCCCCGCCCACTTGGAGGGGCGGGGAAAGGGGAGGGGGATGGGCGGAGCCGAGGGGGGAGGGGCGAAGTCGACAGTCACACGAAACGTCGTGAGAATTTTTTATTGTTTTATATATATTTTGTTATTTTGTTGTTTCTCTTCAACGTGACTTTACCGAAAAAACTAAGAATATGAATTACTGCAGTCACGAAAGCTTTAAATCAAAATTTAGTCACTCACACAGTTACACAGTCACACAGTCACTCACAGTCACTCACACAGTCACACAGTCACTCACACAGTCACTCACAGTCCCTCACACAGTCACTCACAGTCACTCACAGTCACTCACACAGTCACTCACACAGTCACAGTCACTCACACAGTTACTTACACAGTCACTCACAGTCAATTACAGTCACACATACAGTCACTCATAGTCACTCACACAGTCACTCAGAGTCACTCACATTCACTCATGGTCACTCACACAGTCACTCACACAGTCACTCACAGTCACTCAGTCACTCACACAGTCAATTACACAGTCACTCACACAGTCACTCACAGTCACTCACACAGTCACTCACAGTCACTCACAGTCACTCACACAGTCACTCACACAGTCACTCACAGTCACTCACACAGTCACTCACACAGTCACTCACAGTCACTCACACAGTCACTCACACAGTCACTCACAGTCACTCACACAGTCACTCACACAGTCACTCACACAGTCAGCCACTCACAGTCACTCACACAGTCACTCACAGTCACTCACACAGTCACTCACACAGTCACACACACATTCACTCACACAGTCACTCACACAGTCACTCACACAGTCACTCACAGTCACTCACACAGTCACTCACACAGTCACTCATAGTCGCTCACACAGTCACTCACAGTCACTCACACAGTCACTCACAGTCACTCACACAGTCACTCACAGTCACTCACAGTCACCCACAGGGGTGAGGAAGGTGTCCACGCGTGGTGCTGGCCACCCACCCACACGAGTGCCGTGCCGGCCTTCATAGTTACTGTCTAACACCACTTGCCACAACAGTTTGTTAAGGCTACAGTGGGTGGGTGAGATGGTGAGTGAGTGGGTGAGTGAGATGGTGAGTGAGTGAGATGGTGAATGAGTGGGTGAGGGAGATGGTGAGTAAGATGGTGAGTGAGTGGGTGAATGAGAGGGTGAGTGAGATGGTGAGTGAGTGGGTGAGTGAGTGAGTGGGGTGGGTGAGTGAGTGGGTGAGTGAGTGAGATGTCGAGGGAGTGGGTGATTGAGTGGGGGAATGAGAGGGTGAGTGAGTGGGTGAGTGAGATGGTGAGCGAGTGGGTGAGTGAGATGGTGAGTGAGTGGGTGATTTAGTGGGTGAGTGAGTGCGTGGGTGAGTGAGTGGGTGGGTGAGTGAGTGGGTGGTGAGTGGGTGAGTGAGTGCGTGAGTGGATGGGTGAATGGGTGAGTGAGTGAGTGGGTGAGCGAGTGATAGGGTGAGTGAGTGGGTGGGTTGGTGAGTGAGTGGGTGAGTGAGTTGGTGAGTGAATGGGTGAGTGAGTGGGTGAGTGGGTGAGTGCGTGGTGAGTGGGTGAGTGAGTGGGTGGGTGAATTGGTGAGTGAGTGGGTGAGTGAGTGGGTGAGTGGGTGAGTGAGTGAATGGGTGAGTGGGTGAGTGAGTGGGTGAGTGGGTAAGTGAGTGCGTAAGTGAGTTGGTGAGTGAGTGTGTGAGTGGGTGAGTGAGTGGGTGGGTGAGTAAAGTGGGTGAGGGAGTGGGTGAGTGAGTGAGTGTGTGAGTGGGTGAGTGAGTGGGTGAGTGGGTGAGTGAGTGGGTGAGTGTGTGATTGGGTGAGTGGGTGAGTGTGTGGGTGAGTGGGTGAGTGAGTGAGTGGGTGAGTGAGTGGGTGAGTAAGTGGGTGATTGAGTAGGTGATTGAGTGGGTGGGTCGCTCACACAAGTCACTCATCGTCACTCACACAGTCACTCATAGTCATTCACAGTCATTCACAGTCAATTAGTCACTCAGTCACTCACACAGTCACTCATTCACTCACACAGTCACTCACACAGTCACTCATAGTCACTCACAGTCAATTACAGTCACACATACAGTCACTCACAGTCACTCACACAGTCACTCAGTCACTCATAGTCACTCATAGTCACTCAGTCATTCTCACAGTCAATTAGTCACTCATAGTCACTCACCAGATGGAGTGCATGCACGGCCAGATCTCCGGGCTGCAGCACCAGGTAACCAGAGCCTTATGCGGCAGCCCCCCCCCACCTCCATGTGTGTGCATGAGGCCTGTCCTCATCGCCTGAGCAGTGCACCATCGCATGTTAGAGAATGTTTTTTTAGGTAAAGTCACGTAGAAATAAGAAATAATAAAATTACATAATAGTGTACGACGTTTCGATTGCAACACAAGCAATCATCATCAGGTACAGAAGAGCTAAATTTACGAGAGAGAGGAGACACATAACCGCAGATATATATACAGACACACATACAACAGGGGATACAGAGAGAGATAGACGGGGGGAGCACACTAAATCAAACAAGGTTTAGCAAAATTTGGAAAGCATATAACGCAACACAGACAGTCGGTCAAAACACAATTAACGCATGGTCTGGTTGATTACGCTATTTCAAAGATTGCTAAATTGCAAGTTAAGTGTGAAATTTATATATACAGACCGCATACACATATATAGACATCCAAGCAGAAAGAGTTAGCACAGAGACACATGGAGAGAGGCAAGCACACAGTAATCTGTGTCAAGGTTTTAAATAGACAGAGAAGGTGGGGCTGAGATGCAATGGGACACAAATTAGCATGGAGCATGCAGCAAGGTGCGGCGCGGAGACTGTAACACCAAGGCACAAACACAGGCAGAGACTGTAACACCAAGGCACAAACACAGGCAGAGACACCACAGAGACACAAACTTAAGTCAAGACACAAAGGTAGACACACCAGCAGAGAACACAAAGACACAGACTTCATACCTCCCCGAAGAGGTGGTTGAAACTTGAATTTGGAGCTTTCGTGACTGCAGGAATTATTCTTTGTTTTTTTCGGTAAAGTCACGTAGTAATTCCTGCAGTCACGAAAGCTCCAAATTCAAGTTTCATGTTAGAGAATGGTTTGCAGAAGCATAAATCACATAACTACTTCTGAGAAATATTTAAGTGCCCTCTGGTACCCACACAATAGGAGGAAATACTTTGATATCTGCCCTGCTATGGAGAGTAATGAGTAATGTTCATCACAAAACAGTCTGATCTTTGGTTTTCAGAGCTGGAACTTAGCTCGATTTAGTGTAAAGCCGACATTGTTTTCATGGGCTTTTCTGTGAAGTCATTGATGATCAGGCTGAGATCATTAACTCACTGCACATGTGAACCTGGCTTAATCACAGGTGGCTGAAACCTGAAGTGGTTATATAAGTAATATGGATGCAGCCAGGAAGGCAGACAGCCAGAATGTTTTTTTTTCGAATGTAGTATGATAATGCATTTCTATATGGCAAAAGGTATAATTGTGACCACAGGATCGGTCCTCCCCTCATGGCTCTTAATTTTGTCTGCAGATAGGTGAATGTTGGATGAGGTAATTACACTAGACAAGGCAATCCCTGACTAGCCCTTTAACTAATTCACTCCCTCTCATAATTTGTCATGATTCAGAGTTGCGAATGTATTTTCTCACATTTTAATACTTTCAGTTAGAATAAATACAATTAAATTATAAAGTCAGCTGCAGTTTACAGGACTTTTTCTAAAATGTGATTGGCTTGCATTTGCTAGAGAAACAATATAGGCTTGCAGACACACAGCTATATGCAAACCACAGAGTTTAAATGACTTAAGTGGTAATTATTTATCTGTTTGCAAGCCGGGCTTAATTACAGCTGGGTCTTTTCCAACCCAGAAAATATTTCCACATTCTGCACACCATATTCAGTATACTTCCCCAGACATGAATCCAACATTGTGGAACGTGTGCGTGCCTGTAGCTGAAGGAGTCGGAGGGGCACGTCCAGGCACTTGGGATGGAGAAGGCGCAGCAGCAGGACGCGCATCGAAAAGAGGCCTGCGAGCTGGCGACAGGGCTGGAGGAGGTCCGGCTCACCCTCACCGATGCTTTTAAGCAGTTCGAGCGCAACTCCAAGAAGGTATCGGCTCGCAAGGGCACGCGTGGTGAAGCCGCGATTGGCACTGAAGAGGGGCGCCACGGTGGCGAGATGTTAACTACCTCGCCTGTATGCAGGAGGTTGTGGGTTTGATCCCAACCCCGACACCTGTATATTTGGAGTTTGCATGTTCTCCCTGTGGTCACGTGGATTTTTTCCGGGTCCTCCGGTTCTTCCTCCACATTTAGAAACGTGCGTTTAGATTCTATAGCTGCAATACATTTCCACATGATAAGCCACTTCGTTGAACTTTCATTTGTGGGCAGGTCGCTTCTGAAAAAGAGCTATATAGTTCAGTAGGCCTTAGCTGGTAAAATAAAGATAATTAAAGTTTGAGTTTTAAGACATTTGTGGCAGCGTTCACAAGAGGAGGAGACCCTTGTGCGGCGAAATATTTATGATGATATACAACGTATTAATTTACTGTGATGAGCCTTCTGCACTCTGAACCAAGATGTCCGAGTTTGATTACCAACCATGGCTAGCATTGGTGGCCAGTGAAATCTGACCCAGTCTTGGGTGTACCACTTCGTGCTGACCAGTGTGATGAAGTATGATCAATTAATTCCCATGACCGGTATGGCTCAGGGAAACTTTCATCCAGCAGTATCACAAAAGCACATTCAGCGGTGGACGGATCATGGCTGTTCATGATGATGATGGTGATGATTACGATGGTAAAACGAACGTTGCCTGTATTAAGGCTCAGGAGGACGAGGACACAATCACTCGGCTGAGGGAGGAGCTCAAGGCGAGCAAGGAGGAGCTCGCAGCGAGTGAGGCGGAGCGCGCCAGTGCCCAGCCGGAGCTCTCCACCCCCCAACAGGGACTGTCGGCGCTGCAGGATCAGCTGACCACGTCCCAAGCTGAGAATGAGGACACTCTGCGTCAGGTAATGCTCCCAGCCTCGTTCCCACGGCCGCTGAGAACCCAGGCTCTCCTGGCCCCGGAACGGCCCAGGTCTGACCGTGACACAGCACTTGAGTCGTCAGGCTGTGTAGGGTCTGACCATCTGCTCCCCTCTGCTACGTGCATGTCCATGCCCTCCCTGTCCTGGTTTGGGAAGCGATTTTAATCTGACCTTTTACTGCAGATTTTGGGTTACTTAATCCATATATGTGGGCTTTTATAGGCGTAATCATGGGTTGTGTGCATGATGGTCTGACAAGATTGGGTGCATCCTGGGTGATTTGGTCAAACATGGTGTATGGACATCTGTGAAAAATATTTTCACAGCTCATCAGACTCCTCCAATATGAATAAAGATTCTGGTTCTAAATGTGTCTGTTGTTGCATCTGTATGTTCTACAATAACCGCACACAGTCGTTAAAATGCTTTTCTCTGTCCCTCTGCCTGTGGCCCAAGCAGCTGTTCGAAAGGAGCCAGGAGCTGGGATCCCTGCATGCGGGGATTCTTTGGTATCAGCGTATGCTGGCCGAGCTGCACACAGAGCTGGAGCAGTACCGCGAAAACGCACAGATCGCACGCTCACAGCTGCAGCATTTGGACATGCTGCGCCAGCAGAGCGAGGCGGAGGTGAGTACACTGCATTCGCACGTCGCAGACAAAGACTCCCCGTATAGCCTTAATAGACTGTTGGGGAAAGTACTGTTAGTGAGCAGCACCTATGAAGGCCGGCATGGCACACAAGGGGGTGATTGGCCAGCACCATGCCTCGCTGCCTTTGTCTCTCCAGTGGTGGTGTTTACACATCGCACCAGGTACTCATTTGAGGCTGGGTCGATCTAGGGGACGCCCAGGACCGGTTCACATAATCGTCACTGGTGTTGGCCATGAACGGGAATCGAACTCGGGTCGCCGCTTTCGAAGGCTAATCGCTACACTACCGCTCCCCACACATTCACTTTCATACACATAGACACGTGCGCGTGCACACACACACACTTATAGGCAAACACTTGCTCCAAGCGCCATCCTGAATTATTACATGTCGCGGAGGATTGCTCCACTGAACAAAATAGTGACGCGGTTCAATTTTCAAGTGCGAGTTCGCGTTTAAAGTCAATGTTATAAAATATATATTTGATGGAAGCAGGTTCGTAAGTGCAGGTGTTTGTAAGTTGAGGACTGCCTATATATACACTTATTTTTCACACAGATGTGTATATGCGCACTGGGTTACTGAGCATCCTCTGTTTAGGGACTGTACCACATTACAATCCACCATCCCACCTCTAGTAAAAGTACCTACTACTACTAGAACATCTGCTCCCCTCTGCTACGTGCATCTCCATCCCCTCCCTATTTTTGGTTGGGAAGCAATTATAATCGGACATTTTAAAGTAGCTTTTGGGTTAATTAATCCATATATCTGGGCTTTTATAGGTGTTATCTTGGGTTGTATGGATGGTGGTCACCCATCCAAGTACCATCAAAGTTCAACCCTGCTTTTCTTCCAAGATCTCATAATATTGGGTGCATTCCGGGTCATTTGGTCATAGGTGGTGTGGTGTATGGACATCTGTGAAAAAGAGTTTCATAGCTTATCAGATTCCTTCATTTAAAATAAAGATACTGGTTCTGTATGTGTTTGTTGGATTTGTATGTTCTTTAACAACTGCACGCAGTCGTTAAAATGCTTAGCCATGTCCTTCTGCTGCCGTTTGTCCGTGGCCCATGCAGCTCATCGAAAAGAATGAGCACCTGGGATCCCTGCAGGTGGGGATTTTGGGTTACCAGCGTGTGGTGGCGGAGCTGCACGCTGAGCTGGCGCCATGCCAAGAAAACCTGCAGAGCATTCACTGTCAGCTCCAGGATCTGCAAGTGCTGCACCAGCAGAGTGAGGCGAAGGTGAGCAAGTGCTGTTAGCGAGCACCTATGAAGTCCGGCATGGCACAAACGCACATATATACAGTAATACCATTATTTACGCCCTCCCGTTGTACGTACTTTCACTATTAACGTACTCAAGTCATTGATAGCCAATCACATGTTATGTACTGTGGTACCTTGCCATAGCGTACTTGAGATTTACGAACTTTACTATAAAGACCCAAATAGTTTACGCTGGATGGCGACAGTAAGGCACCAGATGACGCCCAAGCGTTTGCATCTCTGACTACAGTAGTCACTTTCATGTGTACATGTGTAGTGACTAACTCAGAGACAGTAAGACTTTTAGGCGCTTCTTTTATTTAACGAGCACCATTGGGATAATACAGACACCCTACGTGGGTACACACTATTACCGTTGCTTGCCTATACAAAACACTAACCATCTAACACTGACAGCACTGAACGGAGACAGCGAACACCTATCTAGCAGCGTAATATCGAGTGAAGACGGCAGCGACGATGGCGACAAGACGACAGCGACGAGACGACAACGACGATGACGAGATGGTGACGACGACTATCTTATATATACGAACAGCACGACGAGGATCCCACTTCCAGCAACAGCCACAAGGTCCCTCACAGGGGCCCTTCTTATACTCTCAGCGTGGCCTCGCTCCGCCACGGCCACGCCCCCTCTCTGGAACCTACTAGCGGGTTCCCGATGGCCCACCTCTGTGACCTTTCCCCTAGATGTCCCCCTCTCGTGTCTATCGTGGCCTGCTGACGTGGGTACTACCATACACCGCAGTTACCCTTTTTTACCAGCAGCCAGCGCTATGCCACTACACATACTCTATCAATATTTGTTCCCCACATACCGGATTTATGGTGAATATTTTTCAAGTGTAAACTAATTTTACATGATAAACAACTAATAATACACATAGTATAATAGACAAATATATCAATAATATGGCAGTCCTCGACTTACGAACGCATTTAGTTCCTGAGGCCCATTCATAAGTCGGAACGGTTCGTAAGTCGGAATACAATAATGTGCGATATTTAAATTCCCATATTGTCAGTGTTATAAAATGTGTTAAGGTTCAACAAAAGAGTCAAGCATTGTTAAACTCGTAAATAAGAAATCATGTACATTTGCATTAACACTAAAATTATAGTGTATCGTAAGTAATACATAAAATGTAGTAAAATATTTTTTTTTATTTTCACTCACCGCTTTCAAATCACAAGCGTGCTCACCGCTACACTTCCGATCCGCACAAAGATCCACCGTGTAGCTTTAATAGGCTGTTGGGGCACGTGCTGTTAGCGATAGCCTATGAAAGCCAGCACGGCATGCGAGGGGTTGTGTGCCAGCACCACACCCAGCTGCATTTGTGTCCCGAGTGGTGATGTTTATACAGCGCGCTAGGTGCTCATTTGAGGCCGAGTTGACCTACGGGAGGCCCAGGAATGGTTCAGATAATCGTCACTGGTGTTGGCCGTGAGTTGGAATTGAACTTGGGTCGGTGGGTTTGTAGCGCAGCGCGTGAACTGCAACACTACCGCTCCCCACACAATCACTTTCACATATACGCACATGTGCGCGTGCACGAGGCTGACTCATGACATCTCGTGGAGGATCGCAGCACTGAACAAAATAGTTCTGTGGTTCAGTTTGGAAGTGCAAGTTCGCGTTTTAAAGTCAATGGTAACCAAAAATTAATACATTTCATAGAAACAGATTCGGAAGTCGGGTATCCGTAAGTCGGGTCTCCGTAAGTATGGTGTTCCTAAGTCGAGGACTGTATGTATACACTTATTTTTCACACTGATGGTTGTACAGAATGGATGCGCACTAGGTTACTGAGCATTCTCTGTTTAGGGACTGTACCACGTTACGATCCACCATCCCACCTCTAGTAGAAGTACCTACGACTACTAGACCATCTGCTCCCCTCTGCTACATGCATCTCCATCCCCTCCCTCTTTTTGGTTGGGAAGCGATCTTAATCTATTATTTTAATCCAGATTTTGGGTTAATTAATTCCTAAAAAATGTTTAACATAAAACTTTCGTGACTGCAGGAATTCATATTCTTGATTCTTTCGGTAAAGTCACGTACTTTTTTTTAATAATATAAAAAAACCCACGACGTTTCGATTGCAACACAAGCGGTCTTCATCATGCTTTTATAGGTGTTATCTTGGTTTGTATTGATGGTGGTTGCCCATCCAAGCACTTGAGGTTCAACCATGCTTTTCTTCCAAGATCTGAGATGATTGGATGCATTTCGGTTTATTTGGTCAAAGGTGGTGTATGGACATCTGTGTAAAAGAGCTTCGTAGCTCATTACATTACTCAATTATAAATGAAGATCCTGGTTGTGTGTGTGTTATTATACCTGTATGTTCTGCAATAACCTCACGCAGTCGTTAAAATTCTTTCCTGTGTCCCTCTGCCGCCATTTGCCCGTGGCCCACGCAGCTCATTGACAGGAACTTGGCAACTGGAATCTCTGCAGGCAGAGATTCAGTGGTATCAACGTGTAGTGGCGGAGCTGCACGCTGAGCTGGCGCCCTACCGCGACAACGAGCAGAGTGAACACTCGGAGCAGCAGCGTCTGCAGAGCGAGGTGGAGGTGAGTGCACAGCACTCGCGCATCGCACACACACACACGTATATAATTTGCGTTTAACGTAAATAATAGATTCATGCACACACGATTCAGTGTATTATGATATGATGAGCTGGTCTAACCATCACGTTAAGCCGTCATGGTCCCCGTTTACAAATACAGATTATCTATCTATAGACAATTTCATTATTGCTGGACACAGTGATAATGATGAGAATGATTTAGCACCTTTCTGTACACCGGGGCATCTCAGAGCGCTTTACATCACATCTCATCTCAACACGTGTGAAAGGGCACCCCCAATGACAGATGTCCCTGTGGGCACAAGGTGACTCAGCACCTGGTGTGCAATTGGCATTTGTCTGCCAGTAGGGGGTGCTGATTGTTGTGTGTAATCCCAGTTGAGCTGGTAGAAGTACTGAGTTGTGTGTAGTGTCTAATGGGTCAGTATGTCCACAGCTTGTCACGGTTGAGGAGGAAGAGGACATCTCTGGCTGCTCACTGGAGCCCGGCATTCAAGAAGCCTCCCAAGACCTGCCCCCCCAGGCCTCGAACACCCTCTGAGCATCTCACAGCCCCCCACACTTCCAGCACCACCCACCCCCACCAGCACCTCCCCTTCCTTACAAGGCGTCGCTGTTTTAATAATAAATATTTGTATCTAATACTATCGCCTCGTCTCAATTCTTTTGAGTGTTTGGGACACGCGAGTGGCTCACATTTATAACGCTAAGGGCTGTCTACATCCACAGTGTGGCTGTTGCGGAGCTTCTAGAAACCAAATGTGAGGCAGAGTTCTGTGTCCCTTGGGTAATGCCAGCCCTCCAAGGGGTTTGCACTGAGCTTGAGTTGGGGGCGACAAGCACAAGGTTGTGGAGGTGGTGATGGTGGTGGAAATTTAGGAGGATGGCAAGGAGGAGATGCCCATCAATAAACTAGTTGGCCACGGTGAAGCCAGCAACCATAGTCGTTCCTACGTCCCCTGATGTGAGCGGCAGTGCTGGAGGGCAGTTCCACGGTCTCAGACGGACGTGGATACTCATTACCATAATCGCACAGTTATCTTACCTTGGGCAAAGTATTTCAACCAAGAGATTCAGATAGAAATCATCTGTGTGAATAATGTCATTTCTAAAGCAATAATTACCTTCTATATTATATCCCATATAAATATATAAAATTAAGATGATGCTGAAATTGTGATGTTTGCCTAATATGTGGAACTGCCCTACATGTAGTGCCAAACACTGACGCTCTGAAAAATATTTCTGCAGCAAATCTGTAGCCCTATCCCTAACTCCAAGCCTGAATAGACTATGGAATATATGAAAACTCAATGTCCAATTCACAAATTCGGAGGCATCATCACAGCGATGCACCAACTCTACTTCTTACACAATGATCTGGCTCAACCACCTCAATCCAATATAGTTGTTGCTCTACATAAACGTCGACCATTCGAAGAACATGACTCCAACCCCTGTTCGTCCCCTTGTGCTAATTCATTGCTCAAGACAATGCGTTTCCATGTAGTTCTCCCCTCTTCGGGTTTTGAGAGATCCTTCTTCCCATGATGTGTCCCCAGGTTGTGTACGTCACAGATGGCAACTCTTATCCTCGTACATGGACGGTCACGTTGCGTCCCTGGTCTCCTCCCATCACCCATCACTTGCCATCCCTCCCCCCACCCCAATGTAATCACTCAAAACCAACTGTGATTGACTGCAGCAGTGTTTTTAACAGACACCAGTCGTGTTACGGCTATTGGTGTTGTTATCGTTTATTGTAATAAACGCATTGCCTCCAAGAGAAGTCTCGCTCTACGTTCATACCCACAACACAGGCGCAAAATACATTACAGAAGTTATGTTAAGCAGCGGCAAAGTTTGAGTGATAGCTCATCTGACACTGACTCCTCTCACAACGACCAACTTTCCGAATACTCATTCAGTAGTAAGACTCTTAAATTGACGGAGAAAGCTCTCGTCAGAATCCCCTATTTTGATCCACACAATAGGAACAGAGACATACACTCATATCACAACAGTCGAAGTGGAGGCAATGATCAGAGGTCTGAGGAAGTTGGACGAGAAAACAAGTGCTGAAAAGAAGGTTACATGAATATTCTATACCATGGGTAAAGTCGCTACCATACAAGGTTAGGAATTATTTCAAACAACTCAGCCTAACAGTGATTACGAAGTTTGGAGAATATTCAACACTGAGGGGTTTAATGCTGCCAAATTTATGACCCAGTGCGTAAACGAGGAGTGTATTACGCAGGTGATGTTGATCAATACCACGAAGGTGACAAAATGTTCAAGATTGTTTTTTTAATCCTTGAGTCCAGAGATTACAGAAATTGTGGGTATGGTTTTGGACCCAGAGACGGCCTCCTTACACCACATACAGAATAGGGTTCACACGGCATGGCTATATAGAATTAGGAGCCATAATTCGGACAAAACACAGGGAGAGAGATAATGCACCCCGCCATCTAGAGGGAAGTAAAAATCACGTGAGCAGCTACAGCACCTCACACCAAGCCCCACAATACAGAGTTAGTTAGTTCATAGTTCATTTATTTGGTATAGCCCTGTGAGCCATTCGCTCTTGAATCGGGTGCAACCGCAACAAACAAAAAACATGAACAAGAAAACATCTTAAAGTGATTATGTGACTGTGCAAACAGAAAATACAGGAAAAAAATATCAAAATATTCCTGAAATAGCACCGTACACCAACGCTGTGTGCAAAAATCCCAGTGGGATGCAAGTCAAATAACAACAACAACAACCACAAGACAACTAAGATTAAAGCCATCAGTCTAACTCCGTACTACAATAAACAAAAACATGGCCAAAACAAAAAAAACACTTTTCGAAATCACCAAAATAAAAGCCATAAATCCAATGTAACAGTGATCATAGGGACTGTGACCGAATTTTTAACAATAAACTACATAAATAAATTATAACACCAAAATCTAGAGCCATATTTTAGGCCACTGAATAGCAGTGGCAGCTAGGGTTGTACAACTCCTCCAGAGCAGTTTTGAGTGAAGATCTCATAGATAGTGATTCAAGTTGCAGTTTATTGGCAATAGCATTCCAGACCCTGGGGGCATCAATAGCAAAGGCCCTTCCTCCAGTTTTTGTACGGCAATAGGGAATGTGAAGCTGGTAAATGAGCGAAGACCTGAGGTCAAATTTGTTCTTTGAAACAGAGAGGAGATCCAGTAGGTAGTCTGCGGAATTTTTTTTCAGAGAGGAGCAAGCACCCAAGAACTACCAACATAATTACACGCAGAGATGGCAAGGTAACAATCCAGCGAGAGAGTGGCACACCAATCCGAGGCAACCACAGCGCACAAAGACAGGTAATTATTGGAATTTCAGGGTGTGGAAGCCAAGAGCGGAATCATACCAGCACCCCATGCCACGACAAACTCAAGGTTAAACACAATCTGCCCATTCCCCCTTCGATACCCCCACCCGGCTATACCAGGAGGGAGTAGAGAAACAGGAAAGGAAACAAAAATGGACTCAACTCAGATACAAAATGTGGCACAAACACGTGGTGAATCACCCACATTAATTGAGAATGAGCTGCCAGTGAGAGCACTGCCCACTGAATTACTGAAAAATAGTTTTTCATCCAAAGGCCGATGCCTGCATTCCTCAGGGCGTGTCCCTGTAGCACGTTCCTCTGCCCCATCCATCGTACAATCATGCAAATCCGCGAGACAATGGGCGACTTTTCCAATTACCTGGCGATTAGGTTTTACTCCCCCTCCCTGCGGTTTATCATCTCCTGTCGGATGTAGATCGGAGTGCTGAAATGGGGGAAGGGAAGATTCACAATGGATCGGGAATTATGTTGAAACCCAGCACACCCAAATGCACAAAAGGGGGGAGGACCCAACGGGGCACGGAATCGAATCGACTCATCGAGTTAAATGTACGGATCAATGAGTGGTGGCCCACTTTACTCCAGTGACCCGGGTGCTGCTGCGGGGTCCACTTTCTGCCCCGCCTCCTTCCCCCCCCCCTTCTCTCTCCCCCCTACTGCCGAGGCCTATATAACCTCGTGCCACGGCAGATCTCTCGCCTACTTCAGCAGTTTTTTCTTGCTGTGGTTGTCCCACCTGATGGGAGGGACTTGATCACATCAGCCGCGTCACAGGAAGTAAGATGTGGGGATGGCTGTCATTTTTAAAGGGGTCTGAGTAATTGACCATACACAAGGAATCGGTTATAATCGACTTGGTAATCGAATCGTTCCAGCTTTAGTACTCGCGCATATAATACACTAGCTGTACTACCCAGCTTCTCCTGGGACTTGGATCCACCACGCCCGGCGGCCTTTGTCTCCCCAGTGGCGATGTTTACACACCACAGCAGTTACTCGTTTTGAGGCTGAGTCGACGTAGGGGAGGCCCAGGACCGGTTAAAATAATCGTCACTGGTAGTGGCCGTGAGCGGGAATCGAACTCGGGTTGCCGGATTCGTAGCGCAGCGCGCTAACCACTACACAATGCGTTACGCTTCCACATGTGCGGGTCACGTGACAGATTTGACCTCACAGCTCACTTGCCGTACAAAAAATAAATGCATTATTGAGCTCCCCCCCCCCACACACAAAAAAGTGTATTTTCATAACTTTTGCATGGTGTAGAGTCTGGAAAGTACCCACATGGTAAATTTCAAGTTTGTTGCATGTCGGGAAGTACGCTAAACATTTTGAACAGACACATATTTACAACTTTTATATATATGGAGATAACACAAAATAATCATTACCACATTTGCGTTCGTTTGAGCATTCAGTGTCTCAAACCGACGCTGGTGAACTGCCAGATATTTGCAGGCAAGGATGCTCTCTGTTAGTTACAGGTCCTAGTTCTATGCAAAACTGTGGAATACTTCACAAAAAGTCATCATGAGCTTTGCAGAGCTGAAAACCATTCTGACGTTTGCTCGTGTTGAACCAATGCTGCTGAAATAAAAATCACGGCCAGAAAGGCCGTAGGCTTTCACGACCAATATTATTCATAATAAACGTTTTTGGGTTAGATCGCATTACTCATAAATGTGTCGTAACCCTCCACTACCTGACACGGCCAATCAGTAAAAAATGTGTCACATTGACAAAAGAGAAATAGATCACTCCTTCAGCCCACCGGTGTGTTGAAGAGTGAATCCACAACATTTACAATTTTTGAGTACGACGTTTCGCTGGTAATTACATCCAGCATCATCGGGCAATTTGCCAGAAAGGTGAAGCCCTCACTTCCTCCCGGTCTAAAAAACCGGGAGCACCGTCACCATCGCAGCATGACACATGTGTGCCCGTTGAAACGTGCAGCCCTCGATCGCAATAGAACCGATAATAATTATTGTTGGTACTAACTTTCT